TGTACAACTCAATAATTTAATTGTGATTTAATTTTTTTTTTTTCAGGTTTGATTATATTTCAATTAAACTTTATATTTATACAATTTTCCTCCCTTGTTTAATATTCTTTAAAATATCTTCAACTTTATAATATTCAACAATTTAAAGTATAATGTGTATGAGTGTAATATTTTAAATTTTATATAAAATAATTATTGTTATGATTTTAATTATCATGTTTATTTACTTTTTTTTTTCACGATAATAATGTTTCTGTATGATCTTTATTTAAGTCGAGAAATAAAATTTTATAATAATTTTTTATACTAATTTGGTATTCATACTTAGTTTATTTATTTTTTCCAAATAACATAGCTATATTATGGTTTGTTAATACACATAAATTTTTATTGCTTTATAAAATAAAATATAATTTTATTTGATATATTTTAATCTATTTTGATAAATACTTTTAGATTCTATTTATAAGGCTATATATCATTGTTTTATATTTTGTTATATAATATGGATGTCAAATCAAAGACGTTAAAAGATGAATAATTTGATATATCATATATAAAAAAATACAAACCTAAAAAGCTACAAAATTTTAAAAATAAGAAGAATAAACATTTGTAATAATTGATGTATAAATTAAATAAGAAAATAAAATTTAGTATATGATAATATAGGAAAATGAAACTTAAAATAGCTTATGGTAAGTTATTGTAGAATAAAAGAAGGAAGATATCAATTAGGAGTTAATATGAATGAATAATGGTATAGACGTGAAATAAAATCTAAACCTACTTATTTTTGTATAAAAAATATTAATTTATATTCAAGTCTGACTCCGCATCACGATGGTTTTCCACATAGGATTCCGAAGCGTGGCAGCATGCCATTTAGCCTCAACGTATTCTACAGTTGTATGTAGTGTGGATGTGGATGTGGATGGATGTGTTGTAAAAATTAATTAAAACGGCGGATTAAAAACGAGTTTCAACACATATACGTATTAAGAATTTGTAAATAGAAACCAAAAACATCAACCACGGGAACGTGAGACGAAACCAGATTTCTATTAGTAAATAAAATAAGTTTATTATTAAAATAAAAACTTAACTGATAGTTCTATATTGTCACAGAACACATATAGCTGAATCGCAGAAAATCTGTTTGCCTTGAAGAAACAGACGCCCCGATACTGTGCAACGAGTACTACGCCTTTTCTCCCAGGATAAGAAGGCTCAAAGTGTGAAGATTGCACTATTTAACACACTCACCTCGATCAAAATCTCAGTCGCCAAGAACCCTTAATTTTTCTTAGTATTTGGAGGATAAAAGAGAATATATGTATATGTTCTTTTTCTTTTTCTTCACTTGGTGTTTCTTTCATATGTCTTGCATGCACACTCTTTATAGTGTTTTTAAGATAAACATGCATTCAATGAAGAGGAGATGTCTTAATGCCTTCATTAAGACAAGAGTAATGAAACTTTGAGTTTCATTCTCACTTCTCAAAACTGAACAAACAAAATGCCAGGTTATGCTTTTCATTGAATTTGGACATTTACATTAAACACATCCATTTACATTAAACACATCCTCTTATCTAAGTATTCTCACAATATACATTTCTCTTTTCATGTAATTCTTATTGCAACAATCCCCCACAAATCCTTAGATAATAATTATCAGGGTCATCATAAATTGCTTTCAGTAATGGTACCTTCCAGTTTGAACCACCTAAGTTATCCAACTTCTATCATCACCGAAATGAATGGATCTAAGCCTTGAATTCATGTCGTGAGTGTAATGACGTTCATTAGTAACAACTTATTGGCTATGTTTTGATCTTTAGGGTTGACACATTAAGGCCATATGTGACGATCCTGTTTCATGAGTATCTTCAAGGAATAACCCTTTCCCATAGTCGCGGCCAAACAACTATACTCATTTAGTTGGGCATCTCCAAAGATGCACTGTTTACATCTGGTTTAGAAAACTCGACCCCATTCAGAGATAAACTCTTACTATACTTGCAGTTAACAACACCTTCCAGGTATACTAGCGAAAGAACTCATCATACTTTATATATAAAGTATCAATCTTGTATTTTTAGGTG